CTGCTGTGGAACATGGTCGTAAATGACCTTATCATTAAACTCAACAAAGAACATTTCTATACAATAGGATATGCTGATGACATAGCTATACTGGTAACAGGAAACTATGCCAACACACTTTGCGACATTACACAAGCGGCTCTCCGAATTGTGGAAAGATGGTGCAGAGCATATGAACTATCGGTAAATCCAACAAAGACGGAACTAGTAATGTTTACCAACAAACGACTACTAGGTAACTACCGATTACCCAAACTCTTCAGCACAGAACTACAGATATCAACCGAAGTCAAGTACTTGGGAGTAATACTGGACAACAAGTTGAACTGGAACAAACATATGGACAACAAAATTAAAAAAGCCACTATCACCTTCTGGCAGTGCCATAGAATGGTGGGTAAACAATGGGGACTTTCACCCAAGATTACACTATGGCTCTACACTGCGGTGATAAGACCCATGATCAGTTACGGCGCGATAGTATGGTGGCCACGAACCAAGCTGACGACCGCAACCGACAAACTGGACAAATTCCAAAGACTAGCGTGCATGGCGACGACGGGCTGCATGAGGACAACTCCAACTGCAGCCCTCGAAGCGATGCTGGACCTTCGACCCCTCCCACTGTTCATCAGACAGGAAGCGGCGTCAACAGCAGTGCGTCTAAACAGAGCCGGCCTCTGGAAGCACATGAGGACCCCACATACAGAAATCCTCTACAAGTCTGTCAATGAGGAACCGCTACTGGAGGCGGTTGTGGATAGGATCCCAAAACAATACATCTTTGACAAGAAATATAAGATACAATTATTTGAAGATCCCAACGAAGGACTGAACCCCAGAGAGGTCCGAGTCTTCACCGACGGATCTAAAACAAACTCAGGAACAGGTAATGGGGTATTCTCAGAAGACCTCAATATCAGGATATCAGCACCGCTTGGTGACCACAACACAGTATTCCAGGCTGAATGCATGGGCATCAAGTTGGCAGCAGAAGCAATCATAGCGAGAAGAGTAAAGAACTACTCCATTCGAATACTCTCCGACAGTATGTCAGTACTTCAAGCACTGAATAGCTATGACATAAACTCAGGGCTCATTTACGAATGCCATCAAGCACTCATGGAGGTATGTATACAAAACCACGTAACTCTTCAGTGGATTAAAGGACACAGCGGCTCACGTGGCAATGATGCAGCAGATGAACTAGCCAGGAAAGGGTCGGAGACGGACGCTGTAGGACCAGAACCGATAGTGTCCCTCCCCTCCCAATGGTCTAGAACAACTATACACAAAGGTACAAAATCTTCACATAATAATACATGGACCACCCTTACGGTTTGTAGACAGGCGAGGGAAGCACTCCCAACGCTCAATGCCAGTCTATCTCGAATACTAATTAAACTTAAAAGGCAAGAGCTTCGCACTCTAACTGCCGCCCTAACGGGTCATGGTCCATATAATAAACACCTTTTCAATTTAGGTATCACAGACAGCCCTCTATGCAGAGCGTGCATGGAGGGGGAGGAAACGGCTGCGCACATCCTACTTCAGTGCTCCGGCGTGGCCAACTACAGGGCAAAATACCTTGGAGTGCCAAGGTCGCTCCCCGAAGTCTTCAGCAAACCAAGGAGGCTGCTGAGATTCCTGGAGGAGCTTGGGT